AAAAGTTTAAGCCTTCTAATAGGCAAACTGAAGCTGATTATACAGATTTGTTATTTGGAACTATGGAACAAATAAGTAATCAAAGTCAATTAGTTATTGATGATGAAAATTCTGATAAATCGGATTTAGAATATGAGCTTGAGGCACCAATTATTTTAGAGCAACTTTGGCAACTGTTACGTGTATCTCAAGGACAAAAAAAAAAATATATATAAAAAAGCCACATCTAAGCAATATAGTGATCCACAATTTAAAAATCATCGCTTAATAGAACCACCTGTTACTACTGTAGAGTTATATGATATGGTCAAGGCTGCAAGTTATCTTTCTCTCAAAGAGTATTGGGAAGTTCTTGATAAAGTTGGACTTATTGCATCATTTTTGGACCCTCGAATAAGAATATAAATTTTATTGATGATGAGGATATAAAGATAACCACAATTAATACAGTGCGAAGACTGTTTTGAGGAAGAACGTTACCAACCTTTGATTGAAGAAATTCTAAGAGATAATGAATTTGCTAGATCTAGTGATTTAATATCAAATTTATATAGTAATGAAGAATTAAGTGGTGTAACTGAAGAGAATAAAGTTGATCATTATATTCGTGAGCCCATTCAAAGAAGAAAATGTAATCCATTAACATGGTGGTGAGATAATGCAAACAAATTTCCCATGCTATCAAACCTGGCTCAAAAATATCTATCAGTTCCAGCTATGTCAGTCCCTTCTGAGCGTTTGTTTTCAGATGCTGGATTGCATATTACAGCATTGCATAATAGGCTTCACCCTAACATGGTTGAACGAATGATGTTTCTTAAGCACAATTAGTAGCACTTCTTGATTTTTAGGCCAAATGAATTATAAGAGATAACAGTAATAGGTAATATTCATATGAGGCTATAATTTTACCTTTTAAATATAATAATCAGTTTTGTTGAATAGATGTTATTTTCAATACATCTAGAAATACACGGATTCCAGAAAAATCTCTACTGAAATTGCAGCATAAATTACGCCCAGTATACGAATAATATGTATGTACATGGCTGAAAGAATTAGGAATTGCAATCGTCTATAGATTTACCTGATGATTATCATTATAAAAAAAGGCATTTGTAGAATTAGTGAATTATTAGAGATGCATCAATAGGCAACTTCATTACATCATTGATATATTCTAATGATCTTATCAATATTAATGTAACTAAAAGAAAAAATGCATTTAATAACAATGAAAAACACTAGTTATAATGTTTAGAAAAACTTCAAAATACACGTAATAGGGTTTAAGCTTTTATCAGACGAATTAGCAAGTTTCTTGGGCCACACTTTGTAAGAATTTTTATTTTATATCATTTATTGTTGCAGATCATAATGAAATCAGATCATTGTGAAATTTAGGGGTCTTAATTTAAACATAGTCATATGCGATACTAGAATTATCTTGTTTCTTTTATTTTTTTCTCTTTCATCAGGTTTATTATTTATAGCAGGTTCATCATTTATAGAAGATTTATCATTTATAGAAGGTTCATTATTTATAGAAGGTTCATTATTTATAGAAGGTTTATTATTTACAGACGGTTCTTCATTTCTAGGTGATTCTCCATATTGTAGAGAAAATATATTATCTTCATGTATATAATTGGGCATCATAAAGCCTAGGTTGACCTTTTAAAATGCAATTTATTATTATTTATATGGTAAGTATTTATGTTTAACTTAAAGAAATCATACCTGTTTATTAAACCTTTACTCTTATATGTACGCTGTAATACTTCTTAGAACGTACACCTTAAAATCCCTACTTTGTAGGGTAGACTGGGATAGGGTTTGCGTAATGTTCAATGATAATACTATAATTTCTCAATAGAGGATATTCGATTTGGCAGAGCCAATATCGTTTAAAGTATATGCTTTATTAAAATTAGAAGATATGCAAGATGCAAGATGCCAGATGCAAGATGCCTTTTTACATGTCAATAAATGCTAGCTTATATATTATTTACATATCTACTTGTTCTACTAAATCTACCTTATCAACTCTATCTACTAATTCTAATGTATCTACATACTCTATTAAATCTTTTAATATTTCTTAATATGGTTATATGCAATCCCAAACAAATATGCAATCGATCACCAAATACAATCATAATCATCGATCCTATTCTTTTAATCATTACAATGCTTTTTTTTTTTGATAGTCAACAACTAGTAAGAGTACAACTGGTAAGAGAACAACAACTTGTAGACTATGACTGGTAGAATATGAACAGATAATTAGTGCTATGTAGCAAAACTACTAGAAGAGCTTTTATGGGTGTGCTTAAGACTAAGAACAAGCACTCTTAATCTGTCGTGTTCTTA